CTTCTGAAAGCATATCAGCAGTAGCATTGATAATTTCGGGTGCTAGTGGATAATCAGAATGTTTGTTGTGTAACTCTTTGGATATTCTTAATCAACATCCAAAATGTAGCCAGTGGAGAGGTCGGATTTTTTTTCGATGTCGTCTTTTGTAAATTGACGTTGTATCCATCTTACATCTTTGTAAGGTAGTTTCTGACACATCGCCAGACCGTAAAGAGTATTGGCGTCAAGGTAGTTGATGTAAGAAGACGGTTTCTTTTCATCATAAAGTTCTTCCATATACTTGTTGGCTTCGGCCTTTCTGTGTGATACCTGACACATTCCGCCACGAAGCCCATTCTCAATTTTACAAATTTCTTCATCATAGATGATGTCCAGACATATTCCGGTTTCTAACAACATAGCATCCCAAGCGAAATTAGGTAAAGTGAAGTAGTGAGCGGGGTCAAGCTGATTATTGTGAAAACATTCTGTTCTGAAATTTTCAACTACATCGGCCAACAATAAAACATCTGTTTGAAGGTAAAGGTCGTGATATTCACCTAAGTTCTGAATGTTAAAGTGCTTGTATATCTTCTATGCCCTTTCATATTCTTCTTGTTTTACATGTTCTTCCGAAAGCTTGCTGTAAAACTCTTCTATCGGTGGTAATTCTTTTTCGTCGAACTTGTTGACGTTACCAAAATAGTCATATGGATAAACACCTTTGCCAGTTAATACGTCAAGACATTCATCTGATTTTGTATATTTACTACTGCCAGTTGGTTCTTTTCTCGTTTCTTTCATATTTTGTCAATTTACAAGCTTGTCTAGTGAAGAAGATAGGAAACTGAAACTATCTGCAGTTGTTTAAGTTCAGAAGTTACGATTTTTTCGCTGTTCTGTGCTATGATGCTTAGTTGGTCGTCCTTTGTATTGAGCTTTTCTAAATTTGATATAATCAGATAGGCATCGTAGTTTTTAAGGTTGTGGAATAGAACAGGAGTTTTGAAATTTCTGAAACAAGAATCAAGGTTGCATTTTACATGTGCGGCACCTCTATATTTTCCTGTAAAGTGGCAGTGGTCTCTAACCTTGGTTTGATTTTTTGCTTTCCGTGAATTTTTGATTACAATTGAAACAACGGGTAGATTTTTTTGAACTGAGCTTCTTCTTCATCTGTCAAACCTAGTGGTTTGACATCTTTCATCTTATCGAAAACATCTTCTCCCATTTTATTCACTGTATCACAAACTTTATTCATACAGTCTTCTCCGCGGTATATATAAGGTGTCATGTCGTTTGTTATTGAATTTAAAACGTTTAACATAACACCAGAAGGCTTACGATATGGATAAGTTCCCTTTATTCCTTCTGTTGAATGTGCTGGTAAACATTCAAAATCACCATATATTACATAAGGAGCTTTTAGCATTTTTAATGATTGTTGAACACCATTATTTCATCTTCTTTTGGCATCTGTGTTGATTGGACTCCATTAGCTAGACAACCTTTTGTCATGTGATTTGTGAAAAGCGCTTCTTGTTGGAAGCCTTTTTGACAATACATACAGTGAGATCTCTTTTCTTGGTTGTTATTGGTCTGAGAACCCATTAGTTTTTTGTAGTCTTGTATTAAACCATAATGATGAAAAGCGTCGTCGTGGTCTATTCGCAAAAAGATTTGCATGACAAACTGGCTTTGAAATTGTTGTTCTTCGGCCTGGTCTTATTGTTTTCTTTTCTTCATCTATGGTATAAATCGGTATAAACATTTATTGATATCGTTCTTCCGTTTATTTCTTCAAAATGGCCAATGTCATCGTTACATACAGGATAATTCATATCATTCCATAAAATTGGGATTCTGGACCTGGGGTCACTTACTTTCTTAGGATTTTTGGAGATGCTGGAGCAGCCCAGCCATGGACCCTGTGCCCGGACTGCAATGATCTGCCTGAAGCTGTAAAGCACTATGTGTTTGGGAACAAGGCCAGAGCTATTGATGAGTGGTCGTGAATTTATGAATTTTTTTGGAATTTGGAATTCAGCAATCTGCAACTGGTCACAGTGGCCAAAGCCCTGGTCACACAACTGACTGAGGAAGGATCTTACAGCTGGCAAAAGCGGAGTCCTGAATTTACTTTGGCATGGAATTCAACACTTGGCACACGTGATACTCGTGGAACATTTGAGTTATCCTGGGTACATGCTGCCTCCGACTGCACGCTGGAATTCAACAGAGACACGTGATACTTCTGGAACACATGGATTCTGGGTACAGGTGGCCTCCGACTGCACGGAGTGGAACATGCTCGACTTTCTGCTTGCTGTGAGTGACACTTTTCGGTGTTCTATAATGCGAGGCAAGCAGGACCCCGGGCACACTGCCCCAACTGACCTTCCGAGTTGCTGCATGCTCTATGCAGGGCCATGATGGAAAGCATGGAGGAAACACTTCAGTACACTACGTCATGGTGCCGTGCGCGGTGGCTGAACTTGACAGCTGCCTTTGACACCGTATGACTGTGTGCACCATTGTGTTGGCGACGACACGTGACGTATGTGATCCTGCATGGACAGCATGGCACAAAACACGATGCATGCAAGCATGATGCATGGAATACGGATCTGCATGGAGTGGCAAATAGATGAGAGGGCGTCCTGTCTGCAATGGGCACAGCATGGGAGAAGTGGAAGTTGGTGAGTTGATATCTCTCCTGGAGTGGATTGGTGCGAAATGTTTGGGGTGAGCGAGGATGTCGTACTGTGAAGATTTGTAGTGTCGTGCTGTGGAAGCAGAATACCTGCATGCTGACTGAGACGTGTGTAACACATGATCTTGGTGCTGAACTTGCAATAAGTGAGTTGTTTTCTTGAAGTGTACAGCTGACGTGATGCCAATGATTAACCCTGCATCGTAGGTTCGTCCTAGCCAGGCGGGAGGCAAAAATTCCATTTTATGAAACTGTCGTTGTCTATATGTTTGTTATAATGATACATTCGTTGTGGGTGGTCCTTCTTATATATTTCATAAAACTTACATGAGACGCCGCATCTAAAACACATGTCATCGTCGTTTTCATGTTGATACAAGCCTTCTTTCTCATAAATCCATTCGGGTAATTCAACATATTTTCCTGCTCGTGTAGGGTCATATTTGTCATAACGTATTGTGATTGTATGAACTTTTTAACTCTTAATCCTGACCTTTCTATTTGTTTTTCTGCTACTGTTATTTCTAGATCCTTGCCCATATTATGTAAAGCCTTATTATCTTCATTGAGCATGTTGTATTGTCTAGATTTTGTTGAGTGTATTATTTCATCTTCTGCTTCTATGTCGTCAAAAGCAATTTCAACGAAAGCTATAACTTTCATTGATTTGTGTTTTTAAGATATTCGTTTAGTTTGTCGTTTTGGTGTATGAAATAAGATAAGCCTTTCACATGAGGAAGTTGTATGTTTGAGATTGAATAAGTGTTGGCGTAAGAGTTTAAAGCCGATTGTTCTTGGGTAATTGTGGCTTTTTGTTTAATAGCGTATTTCTTGACAGCATTTCTAACTAGAATTCCTTTTGAGGCTTTGTCAAGAATTTTGAAGCGTCTGTATTGTGGAGTTTTGGAACCCTGTTCTAGTTTTGATATTAATTGTTCACTAGTGGCTTTTCTTTGTTATATGGATATTCAACATCATTTTAAATATCTTCTTATATTCTCTAGTACCTTTGCGTTTTATGTTTGCTTGTTTATCTGAAACTGAGAACTTTAACACTGAATCGTAGCCCCCCTGACTCCATTACAATGTAAGGTGTCTTTTCTTTAAGTGATTTTGGGCTAGGTTTGGTGTTGGCGGTCAGGATTTCTCGGATTTTGGTTGTAACGTTTTACTTGGAATGACGTGTTAACATCTTGAACAGAATTTTGTATTGATCATTATGGTTTTGTTTTTTGTGTATTCTTTTAATTATTGTTTGCGAAGGAAAATTTCTAGTTTCTCAAAAATTGAGCCAAACGAAAAAACTTGAACAAAAATGGCTGCGGGGGAATAGGGAACCGAAACTAGGGGGCATTTAAGGTTTTGACTCTCGCGCGGTTGAGCCCTCAGGGTAACAGAGCACACAACCACAACCAAACCAAAACAACCCTGAACAAAGCCTAAAAACCCTGAACAAAACCTAAAAACCCTGAACAAAACCTAAAAATCCTGAACAAAACCTAAAAGTCCTGAACGAAACTGAAAAACCCTGAAAGCGCCGACACTCTGAGGCTTGTCACAATGCTTTTGACTGTTAAACAGTGGGATTTCCCGAAGCATCTGCTTCCAGTTCCGAGATGGCCTTAAAAGCCAATCCTTTTCCCGAAGTTTCCTAAACAACCCTATCCTAAACAACCCTATCCTAAAACCGAGTGGGGCCTTGCCTGCCTTGTGCGAGTGTGAGCGTCGAAAACCGAGTGGGCGCCGGGCTTCTGGTAGGTGATGAAGGCGATGTCTTTCAATCCTGGCGTGAAACATGTTTGTCGGTTTATTGATAAGCACTTGCACAAGTTAGCATTCACTCGGACGCAGGAGGAGTTTTTCAACGACCACCGCACACATGGTTTCGTGACCAGAATAGCACCGCCACCCTTGAAGAAAGAGGATGGAATGCCTATATCAGGCACTGCTCAGAACAAGGGCTCAAATGACTTGGCACAGTGAGGCTATATGACGGCAAAACCATATAGGAATGACCAGGAAATCATTCGAGAATGACCTATTAATCACCTATCGTTGTATTGTAAGATTAAGAGCAAAATGATACGATGACCATATGAACATCAAGGTAAAATGCCATCGCTTCGGTGCTTCAAGGCGTATGTGTAAGCACTCCGGTGCTCACAACTCCATCTCATCTCTCTCACGCATCTTCGTAGCAATCTCGATGTCCCTTGTAATCAGGGTTTTCTTTACTGACCCAGCCATCTCATACTTTTCAAGCATTGAGTTGAACATCTGCTCCTTGTAATTAGTGGTCTGCCACCACTTCCAACTTGTTGATGAGAACCGAAATCGCCTTGTAGTCGGAAGAGAACTCGTCAATTTTGAAGCACTTGTCTTCAAGGCGTGCCTTGTCGTCGTCAAGATACTTCTTCAAAGATGTCAGCTCGGAGGGGCTCATCGTCTTCATCATTTCATCAAACGAGAGGTCGGACTTCTCTGACAGCTTCTTAGCAATGTCAAAGGCAACCTGAAAGGTGTTCTGGTCGGTGTCTGAACCAAGGTGCCGGGCTTCTTCTTCAAAACCGCCTTTTTGATGACCTTGGATGTGCCACCACCTACTCCGAACGCACCAAGGTTGAGCATGTGTGTTGATCAGTTGTCGGGTCGGCAACGGTCATGGACATCGGCCAGAGTGCCGAGTCTATCGATCCCTCGGTCTCGCGAGCAAATCACCATCCTTCAAGCCTAAGGCACCGATCTCATCCTTCGTCATAGGGTTCTCTTTGAAGCGAAGGTTCATCGTCCTGATGTGGCTCTTCGGGACTTTGATGGTCTCAACAATCAGCAACTTCAACTCCTTCATGGTCTTGTTGGGTGTGATGCTGATGGTGAAGGTCTCGCCGGAGGTATTTTTGATGTTAAGTGTCAAGGTGGTCTCAATCTCCTTCTTCTTTGCCATCCGTTTTTCAAGGAACTTCTGTGCCTTCTTGGCCTCGCGCTCCTCTTTCGCCTTTTCTTGTTTAATGTATTTGAGCTTTGCGTGGACCAAGTTGTAGTCCTCAACGACGGACTTCGCTTTCTTCATCTGCTCGTTGTAGAGCAACTCCAAGGCTTCAATGTCATCAATCTCATCAGGCTTCATCAAGAAGTCTGTCTTCGTGGTGGTCTGAGATGCGGAACCATCAGCATTCGGCATCGGGCTCTTTGTCAAAATCATCGCGAGGGTCACTGTCTCGGTCGTGGGGAGATGCCACAACATCTTCGTCTTCGCTTTCCGAGGAAGAGGTGGTGTCGTGGTCGGACTGCTCACTCAACTCCTCAATCGGAATCTCACGAAAGCCACTGTAACCTGCATCCTTGGAAGAGGAAGCCATTGCTTTGAAAGAGGGGTTCGCGAATTGCGTGAACACTGGACACCGCTATAGAAGCAAAACAAGGTGCTTTCAAAGTGTCTTTCGCAAGCTTAGAAGCAAGAGACAGGCAACTGACAATCAAGGCAACCGCTTTTGCAGGACATTTTCAAGCCTCGCTGGAAAGACCCTTTGCTAGTTCCACAAGTTAGCATACAGGTATTGATAGACCGCTTCGTCAAACCCCTCTTTCGTAGTTGGAATGTCAGCACTTCGGACAAGTTCGCTCGAATAGTTTTTCCAATCTTCTGCTTCTTTTTCCAAGTCATAGTCTTCAAGAATCATGCCGTCATCTCTGTCTTCGGGAAGGTTGCCGAGGAAGGCTGTTTCAATGTCTTTGGATATTGTGTTTTCCAGGTCGTCTTCACTGCAAAGGAAACCCGACGCACAGACCTTGTCAAGAACAATGCTCTGCTTTCTCAAAACTGCCACTGACTGCTGGTCTTTGATGAAGTCGTTGTAGAGCCCAACATAAACATCGCGATAGTCTACGGGGTCTGCCATCTTGAATGATAAAAACCGCTACGGCTACGGCAATCAATAAGACAATGTCGTCCAATCAACGCAACTTCTGACTTTCAAGAACAGAAGAAACCTTCAAGCGAGTAAGGCGCACCATTTGAAGAAATCATCGCTGAAGATGTTGTCCGCTTCTCTGGTCTCTGAAAGGAGGTTTCAGAGACTTCAAGTAATAGAAGCTTTGGTAAGAATATTATTAGGGAGCTTGGAAAATAGGTAGGAAAATATGAGCAATGAACTAGGCGCGGTGGTATGAGCTATGGTTAGAATGTTAGGGGGTGAATGTAAAAAATGAATGAGGTGGAATGAATTGATGAAAAAGTTCTGACAACCGGCGGTAAAAGTGCAATATTGGTGAATAACCCCTAGAACCGGCCTGCGAAAAGTGGATAAGGTGAAGATGATAATGAAAACGAAGAGGGCGTGTTAGGATTTGAAATAATAGCTGAGGTCAGCAATGAATAATGTGTTGGTCCTAAGGACCTGCCTTTTACCCCCCACGCTTTCGCTGCGCCTGAGCAGGAGTGCCTTGAGGGTCGGCGAGTTGATCCGAGCCCACCGAGTATGGAGGCAAAGTGAGGGGTTACTTTGGCCATGGTGGCCACGGCATCCCATGGCTGTGGCTCGAAGGCTTACACCACCTCCTTGGATGCATCCTCTTCTCCGGCTGACTTTGAGGCAGGTCACAGACAAGCACGATGCGTCGTGCATGTCGTGCCTTTTTTTTTTGTTGAGGTGCTCCTGACCTTGCTGGCGCTGCTCTTCTTGAAGCCGGTGTCGCCAGGTCAGGGCACCTCCGGGAGGCCAGGGTCAGGCCAGACCCAACCCGGGGCGCAGGGGCCGTCCGCTCCATTTGGAGGCTCTCCTTGGTGAAGCTGGGCCTCCTGGCTTGGCGCTTGGCGGAAGACCGAGATCCGCAGAGCCATGAGCTCGGAGTAGCGAGCGGCGCCACAGGCCCCAAGGGGCCCCGTGTCAGATGACACAACGTGACAAAGGCAAGTTCCGCCGTCGTATGCAAAGTGCCATCACCGGCAACCATCCGTGCTGGCCTGACTCGCTGCACTTGTCTGCCTTGTGCACCCCAGCCGTTTAGCTTTCCCTTTGCATCTTTCAGGTATACTTGGCTGCCGAGCCGCTGGGTGTGCACTGAAGAGACCGGTGAGAATGACCCTGAACAGCTGATGGTGGGATACGGTGGGTGCTTTCAGACGCCCCATTAAGCCCAGCAGCCCAGCTGAGCAACTTTCGAGACGCTTGCAAGGACCCATCAATCACATATTGCAGGATTCGGTAGCATTGGGAGTTATAGCAGCGTACGAGGGTTTGCCAGAATGCTGCGCCCATGTGTGACAAACCGTGAGACTTGGCGGCAGGATTTGCAGTCCGCTGCCCCTTGCATACGCCGCAGGTCTCTGGCGGATCCTGCGCTTGAACTTCCGGATCGCCTCCCAGGCGACGACAGCAGTTGCAGCTGCAGTTGCAGCGTTGCGCCTGTGAGATCTTCAACGAGCGCGCGTCGATGCCCCGTGAGTGGACCTTGGTGCTCGTGGGCCGACTGCCACCTCGAAGCGAGCTGCTGCCGCTCTTGGCCTCTCGGCCTGAGTTCGCATTTTCCCGTTACTGTTGTTTGTGTTCGACTTCGTGTATGAAGCAGCTTCAATGGTGGTTGGGCTGCTAGACAATTGTCGCTTGGTGCCACTGTGCCAGCATAGTGCAAGCCATTGTCATGATGCTTCTAAACCGGCTTCTCGGGCCATTGGCGATTGGCGGGAACGTGCAGTGTTTCGCCGACGTGCCTGCGCGGGGAAGCGTCGGAGCGCCAAGAAGTCGCGGGGAGAACCGCGTTGATGCACTTCTGACTGAACAGAGCTGAATTCGCTCTCGCGTGGATCGTTCTTGTCTTTGGGCCCAAAATTGATTCGAAATCTGTTTTGCGTGGGAGCATCTTTTCATTGACTCAAAATTGCTGAGCGTACTTGTAATACATTTCAAAAAATTGCGAGTCCGAAACAGAAATATTTAGATATAGTTATTTGTACAGACGTTGTGCTATCTCTTTTGAATCATACGATAGTAAAGCATGTGTATGCATGTATATATTTATGTATATCTGTATATCCTATCATATATATATATATATGGTTGCACCCCGGCGGGCCCCCACCCTCTTCCAGGATTTTGTTCTATTGTGCGGTCGAGGGACCATATGTACAGAGGCACATGTGTGCGTGTGTGCGTCCCTATATTGGAAACGAAGTTCCCACGCGATCATACCACTTCCTTAACAGGACAGCACCAGAGGCCGAAGAAAAGGAAACTCAATCCTGTTCTACAGGGGCGGCGGGGGTTCTCCTTCCTCATCTGGACCACAGACAGAGGATCACAGAACCGAGGAAACGGGCTGTCCCGTTCCACCGGAGGGGATAAACTGAGCCATGTGGAGCTCTATGGAAGCCCTCATGGAGCTATTTTTGAACTCTCTAAAACCCCCTTTTAGACCCTATGAAAGCCGAAGAATCCTTGTACTCGCCCTCAAAACCCCAGTACGGACCTTCTCTCATGGGGGTTCATGCGGGCCCAGTCTTGAGCTTAAGGCTCCAGACCCTTGTATTTGAGATCCATACTATTGGGGGGGTAGGCGCGAGAGCTGTGGGGTAACATGTGACATGCTCCCCCTCCCTCTAACATAAAACCTTGATTTCGGATATTAGGGGCGGTTTCGGGGCATCCGGGTATGAGTCGGGTTGAGAGTAATGATGAGCCAGACACAAAGAGCGCCCATCACGCAGCCGTTCCAGCTGCAGAGCAGACAGTCCCGCCCTTAGCCCTAAACCTTGAGCCCTTAACCCTAAGGCCCTGCGTCACGGTTGTGCATAACTGATCGTCAGCTACGACACCAACCAGTCAAAGCACTTCGCACCTGAGACTTCGTCTGGCTTGTCCGAGTTGCGAGAGCGTAAAGCCCTAAACCCTACCTACTACTGCAGACCTCGCCAGGGTTGTCCGAGTGTGAGTGTCAAAAGCCCCAAATCCTTAAACCCCCAAGCCCTAAAGCCTAAAGCCTTAAGCCCTAAGGCAAAAAAACTTAATCCAGAAGCTCTAAACCCTCTACCCTAGCGCTCTGGTCCTTTCGGTTTCATTAGTACTATTGTAGTCTTGGCCTTATTAAAACTAATACAATGCTAGGCCCCCTAATGTTTTCAATTAGCTTTCAACTGTGGGCCCGAAACCGTGACATTCCAGGGACCGGGAGGTTTTCAATTAGGGAGGGGGTTGATTGTTAGGGGGAAGCGATGAGCTGCTGGTTCCATTCCTGACCAGCGGGGCTGTTTTCTGAGACGCCACCGTTGCCAAGTTGCCAAAACTTCAATGTAAGGAGACTTATTTGGGCAGCATCCCGAATGGGGAGTGTCTTGGCAAGAAATGCTACTATGCAGCGAGAGCTCATGTTTGCTTTCACGATTCGACGATAGGAGCGGCGCGAGCAGCCAGCGCCCCGAAGATCTGCAGATGCGGCAGGCGGTGACTCCTCTAGCGACCCGGCTGCACGTTGGAGCATCATAACCATTCTGAATCATTCTGAAACATGGTGTCCTGCAAGGAAATCGATTTTCCAGCCAAATCAGTGCGAGAAGATGTGCACTTGCACATGGTTGAGCCAAAGGCAAAGATGCACGAAGATGTTCGAAGTCGGGCTCATGTGCATGCATCCAAATTTGATCTGCAGGGCAGTACGGTTCTGTGCTTCCCACTGCAGATGGTGTCGGCTATTTGGACTGGAAGTCTCTTTCACGCTGTGGCGGTGCGAGGTCCTAGCGGTCCTAACTTTGCTGCGCGGGTTTGTTTTCACGAGGTATCGGAGGCTAAGTCGGTGGAGGCTTGCTCCGAAGAGCTCCGCGAGCTCATGCGGCTCCAGTCGCTCGGCTTGCCTTTCGTCACTCCACCTCAGTGGCGGATGCCCGCCGCTGTGTCTTTTCAAGGCTCATGGTGCGGCTCCTGGAGACCCGCTTGGTGGAAGTCCTTCGTTTCCAGCGTGGCCAGGCATGGAACTTGATGCATCCTGCACGTCTGGGGATGAGGATCAGCTAGCAGCAGCTAGCAGCTAATTAGTTGATGCAATGAAACGAAACCAAACGCAAATTAGGCGTAGCAGTGCCGGAGCTGTTCGAACCAGACAAAGTTTCAACTGCCGGTGGCTATCCACCACGCAGATATTAAACCCCCCCAATAGAAACTCGGAAAGCGTGTTTATTGTTGGGGGGGAATTGTTATCTCTACTGCTACTTTTGTTGAGGGGTCGTGCTCTTGCTCCAGCACTGCTCCGGCTCTTGCTCCCACGCTGGCTTTTGCTCCTGCTTCTGCTGCGTCTCTTGCGCCTGCTCCTGCTCTTCCTGTTGCTCCCACTTTTGCTCCTGCTCCCTTGCTCTTACTCCCGCTCTTGCTTCGGCTTTGCTCTTGCTGCTGGTCTTGCTGATGCTCCCGCTTGTGCTCTTGCTCGTGCTCTTGCTCTTGATTTGCTCTTGCTGATGCTCCCGCTCTTGCTCCTGCTCTTGCTCTACCTCCCGGTCTTGCTCTTGTTCTTGCTGTTGCTCTCGCTCTTACTGTGCTCTGAGGGTATTTGGAGCCTCCAAACCCTCCCTCCGAAAGCATTCAGAACAGGTTTTAAAAGGGCAGGGGCCAATGCGTCTGCTTTTCTTTAAGGGGGGGTGGTAAATGAAAGGGGGAAGGGATTTAAACTACTCATCTGGACAGCAACAAGCTGCGCGATGCGGGTTAATCAGCCCTTGGTTTGGCAAACTCGGGGCCAGCAATAGCCGACGCCCCCGCAGAGCTTGGCCACACAAACGCGGACACGGCCCCACGTCTTCCTGTGCAGTGACCCTGCCAAAGCCCAGGGCCGGGCAACCGTCGCCACCATGCAAGCGCACAGGCAGCAGTCGTTTGGCAGGCCCATTGCCAACCCACGAGGCCACGGCGGTGCAACCTCTTCGTGGCGACACTGCCAGCTCACGGTACGCGCAGGCTCGTGTGCCCTCTGGAGGGTCAACGTCAAGTGTCCCGGGCCTCCCGGGCCTCCCGGGCCTCCCGGGCTTGGGGGCCAGGCGTACGACGTGGAGGTCACGAAACTCATCAGCAGGGTGCTTTAGAGCAAGACCGAACACCCACAGATTTCTCAATAGGAGCAGGTGCTGGTTTTTCGTGAGTCCATCGTTGATGCGTGCATTGAAGTTCCGAGGGAAGCATGATGGATTGATGATCGATTTCGCGCTTCACGGCTTAGCAGAACCAAATGCTGTCCACAAAGAGGAGCATGGTGCCTGCATTCTGCCGGCCGACGATTTCTGAGCTCGTTTCCTGTGTGGAGTTGTAAGTAAGTAGTAAGACTAAGTAGTAAGCAGTAAGTAGTATAAGCAATAAGTAAGTGGGCGGTAAGTTTTAAGCCTCTACTAAGCCTCTAATTGTAGTACAGTGTAAGGTTTAGGCCTCTACTAAGCCTCTAATTAGAGTAGTAAGGCTTGAGCCTGTACCAAGCCTCTAATTGCAGTAAAGTAGTAAGTTTAAGGCCTCTATTCAGCCTCTAGTTGCAGTAAAGAAGTAAGTTTCAATCCTCTACTAAGCCTCTACTTGCTGTAGAGTAGCAAGACCAAGCCTCTAATTGCAGTAAAGTTTTAAAGTAGTAAGTTTTAAGCCTCTACTGAGCCTCTAATTTCGTAAAGTAGTACGTTTTAAGCCTCAGCTAGGCTTCTAATTGCAAGTAAAGTAGTAAGTTTTAAGCTTCTACTAGGCCTCTAATTGCAGTAAGGAAGTAAGTTTTTGGGCCTCTCTTTTCCTTCAAATCTAGGGGGTTTGTCTGCAGAGTGCAAAGCCAGGATTTCCGGAATATATCCTTTAAATATAGGGGTCATGAGTAAGCAAAAGCTCGGATTATTTGCAGGTCCTCAACCTGCCCCCCATCTGCGAGGGAACGACACGCACACAGACATGACGACACGAGTTACATATTTATCCCAGGCCCCAAATAATCCTTTTCACAATCATGGATTTGGGTCAATCTGGTGGATTGCAGGTCTACAGCGTGTCCGTGGGCACCGACCTTTCATTGGCGCCACCGCAAATGGGCAAACCGCGCCACGGAACATTGAGCCTCTCGGAGTGCGTTAAAACGGGAAGGTGTGAAGTCAAGGATCAAAAAAGAGGCGCATGTTTTGGCACTTTTTTTTTGCGGAGGCATCAGCTTCGAGTGTGACCCGGCAGAGTCGGACGAGCTCGTCGCAGCGACACAAGCGGCACGGGACCCGGATGACCCAAAAAATGCTGCTTTTCTTACTTGGTTAGCTGGCATGGTGGTGCCGGTCGGGGCGAAGGTTGAGGGGCGGGGCTGGGCGGGGTGTAGGATGCCGTGCTGGAAATTCGCGGGGGCAGATTGCAGCCGCGAGTGGCCTTTGACGAAGCCGAGCTGCCTTCGGGCTTTCTTTCGCGAGGATTAGATAGTCCAGAAGCCTCAAGAAGAGGTTTTAAGACTGTAAGAAGGGCGACAGGTGCTCCGGGAAAGGCCCGGTAGGGTGAGCCGTTGCCTTTGCGTGTGCTGCGTATGCTTGCAGTTGGGAAGCTACGGCACACACGCTATGACCGGCATGCTTTGGTCTTTCGAGTTGGGAGTGGGGTGAGCCGTTGCTCTGAGGAGTTGGATTGCCTGAAAGATGGAGCCTCTTTCAGCATCGAGTTGTCGCGCTCTCACTCTCTGCAATCTTTCGGAGTTGCGACTTGCGTCGCAGGCTCCACAGAGTTCACGGAAGCAAACGTTGCAGCAGCGCTGGAGCAGGTCAGATGCTATGTGCCGAGCGTGGATTTTTTCGTGGTACTTGCTGACAGGATTCTCGTGAGTTTGAGGAGCTGATCCACACCAACGGCACTTGCCCTGGCTCTGAAGTGGTGAAGGGTCAGGAGCTAGTAGATTGCTGGCAGATTCTTGTTCTGCCAGACTGAAAGGAAGTCATCTAGTAGGGGACTTACCGTGTTTGGTTCGCTTCGTGATCCAGGCTTGCATGGTTCAGCTTCAGGCACGCGCCACTTGTGCAATACTCCCTCCGACTTGATTCTGATGTTGTCTTATATGACCTATATGCAGAGGTAAAGATGTTGAGCCATATAGGTGGTTAAGTTGCAGTATGATCAAGGTTCCGGGCTTAGCCTGGTGGCCGTATCAGTGATGAGTTTCCAGGGTTTTGGCGGTAACCTGGTCGCCGTGTCGGTGAAGAGCAGGTGCGTCAACGGGTTGGCAGAGATGTGACAACAAGCTCCAGACATAGGTGTCCCTCATCCGGAACAAACCTGTCGATTGCGATATGGACACAGCAGTAGACAATGTTTCCAGGTAGTGGCATGCCAGCTTGATCAACCGTTCAGGTCGAACAACGTCGCATCCAAATCAAATGGTGAGACTTGCGCGGACATGTCTGACAGGGTGTACGATCCGAGGTTGGTGGGCTGGCACAATGCTGGACCTTTATTTCTCCCGTTGCTACGTGGCTTTCGGGGAGATTGGCCAGACTGTGTCCCTTTGGTGGACGTGTCGGCAGGAGAGCCTGGCTCGTCGGGCACAGCAAGAGACAGAGAGAGAGAGAGGTAGCCATTTTGGCTCAAGCCGCGAGTGCTCAAGGTCCGAGACCATAGAGGACCTCCAACCAAGAGAGTCAGAGGGGGACTGAGGCAAGCAGGAGAGAGCTGCGCGATTCTGCAGCCACACCGAGTACGGGGGCCTCGCTGTACTTTGCGTGTACTCCTTCCAGGTTCGGTTCCGCGACATAGGTGAGAACGGAGCCGGGGTACAAGTTGGCTTGCTCTTTCGGGACTTTCACAAACCTCACCATTGCGGCAATCGGCGACCCGACAGGGGGACAAGTCTGCCGAATCGATCCACCGCAAGACCATCGTTGGGGGATCCTGCTCCCCTACGCAAGTTTGAAGCACTACCTGCACGACGGCGACTTCGGCTTGATCGTGGTGGCCCGCCCTTTTGCAGCAGAATGTCGTTAAACCTTGAAGAAGCCACAGGTTCGCCACAAGGTGGGCCGAAACGAGCCCGTGAGGCTCACTCACTGGAGGAGGGCCGTGAGAATCATGACAGACCGCCACTGCAGCATGGAACACGCAGTCAAAAGGGTCACGGACATTCGCAAGCATCTCGAGCTCCTTGAAGGCAAGTTCGCCACAGCCACGTTTTCGACCTCCTCCAGCACGCGGACGACGGCAGGTGGGGGACCGGATTCCAATAACCGCCCCGCCGTCGTGGTCGGTGGATGGGATGCTGACCAAAGTGCAAGTGACACGCTTCGCATGGCTAAAGAGCACATTGCAAGCCTCGAGATCGACCTGGACACCGAAGAGGCCTTTGTACCAGGGCTTCGACGTGGCTTCGCCATTGTGCCGGTGAACAACAGAAGCGGGGAAAGTGACATGGACTTCAGACGCCGAGTTCGTGAGGCCTTGCGAAAAATCAGGGAAGCAAAGGTCATCACGGGGGAACGCCCTCAGGGGCGGCAATGAGCGAAAGCCCCGAGCGCCGCAAGCGGGCACAATTTGCCGGGAAAGTGAAACGTCTTGTTCTTGAACTGGATGGAGACAAGCGACAGCTAGACGTCGAGTTCGGCACAGGCAACATCTGGCATGGGCAAGTGCGAGTTGCTTCCGCTGTCAGTACGGCTCCAATTGGGGCGGCTTCTACCCGCGTGGGCTGGGTGCACCTTGCCACCATAGCTAGCCAGATGGGAGTCTCCGACAGCTCGCTCACGACAAAGTGGGACGAGCTCAGGAAAGCTTTGAGCTGACCGAGCACAACGCAGTCGCAGTCTCACCCCAGCGATTGCAGAGAAGCTGGGACCATGCATGTTTTGACGTGGAATGTAGGGGGACTCAATCCAGACCAAGTCCTCCAACTTCTATGTGACCTACGCCGAGAACGAATTCAACCTTTCCACCTTGACTTTGTCCTGCTCCTCCAGGAGGTGATAGTGACGGCTGGCAAGCATGTGTCCGAAAAAGGATGACATGCCGATCTTCGCAGGCAAACAAGAAACAGATTGGCGAGGAACAGCCGTCGTGCATGGCTCGCAGTTGAGCCGCAGCCACAATAAGCTGTTGCCGTGTGGTGACGAGAACAATAAGTTCTTTGCACTGTCCGGGCACCCCACCATGCAACCATACTGCTGACAGCGGCAATCACCGAAGCCTGGAGCTCTCATGTGCTCAAGTATGACAAGGCAATCCTTGGTTGGGACGTGAACGAGACCTTCACGCCGGGCCTCCACCGACCTTGCACTAACTCTACAACTGGGCGCGGGGAACAACTACTGCTATGGCTGGCAAAGCTTGGATGGCAAGTCCCAGAGCAGCAGTTGGCAAAACACTCCTTCTTCCCTTACAATACAGCGATGCCATGCCGCCGCCTCGACTACGTCTGCACGCGGAACCTCCAGAACAGAAACGGGGACGTGTTGCAACTCCGGGACTTCGCCAGAAGTGACCACGAACCGGTTTGTCCTCGAGATCGAGACGAAAGGGCAGCGACAGCAACGCACAGCTCCACGAGCAAAGCCTTGGGGGACAAGACAACTCCGTGACCATAAAGAAGTAGATCGGATACTGGAGACCTACGTGAATACATCGATGGACCCTCTCTCTCACATCGCCGACGTCGCCATCGCCATCACCAGACCGGGACGACGTGCAGAAGCTTTCCGAGAAAGTGAAGAAGCACGCTCTCAACGCCGACATGCCCTGCAACTCCCCCAGGGGACGAACGCAAACAAACCTGGAAAACAATGCAGAAACTACGACGCCGAGAACACAAAGAATGGAAGACATGCAAGTTCAACCTGGCCGGCAAGGGCTACTGGAAGTCCAAGAAGGATGTAGATGGGGACGGAGGCAACAACTCCTGGGAATCGGGAACTCAGCCTGTATGCTCGCGACGAATGGCGACAGGAACTCCGCGACCACTTCGACAAGATCTTCCACAAAAAGCCCATGGACACCGTGCAAGCAAAGATAGACGAGGTATGGCATCGGTTGACCGTGCAATGCAAGAAGACGCCATGGATCCGTTTTGACCATGAAGAGCTCAAAGCTGTGAGAAAGAAGTGGAAAAATGGGAAATCGTGTGGACCGGACAGCATATCGCACGAAGCACTGAAGGGCCGTGGGGGGACAGAAATCTGGGCCAACAAGCTCCTCTACATTCTCAATGACCTTCTCTACGTTGCCAAGTTACCCGAAGCAGTTGAACGAGGCATTACGGTGCTCTTGGCGAAGAAAGCGACACCAGCCGACTGGAAGGACACACGACCGATAACCTTGGACCTTCTCACAGTTGATTATCCGACGTGTCGCCCATCATGTGCAGATTCCGTCACGATTGCAATGGAGTCGACGACACCGTCAAGGCGTAGAACTCATACTGATCCTTCGCAAAGTCTGTCGTACGGCCCACCGATGTTCCTCGCCAAACTTGACATACGGAAAGCCTTTGACTCAGTGTACCAGGAGGCACTGGCAGAGGAGATTTCCCGCGATGTGGGGGACACAGGGGGACAACCTTCTGGGTGTCCCTGCTTCACGCGCAGAAGATCCACATTGTCTTCCGAGGGGAGCACTTTGCCGTTCACCAATCCAACGGCGTGCGGCAAGGTTCTCCAGATAGCCCAATAGCCTTTGGCAGGACCGTTGCACGCACCCTGGACAAGGCCCTGAATGAAGCAGCCAGCAAGTCGGCCCCAACAAGGGGAACCACCCCCCCACAATGGGCAGCTACATGGACGACACCTACATCAGGAACCCACTAAGCTTCCCCACATCCTCGTGGCCGAAATGCAGAGTCGTGGACGGCAGGTATTCGCGAAGCACAGGGGGACCTTGATGTCTGACGCGGCCATCAAGAGCAGGCTCCAGATGCATACCATCCTAGTCAGGCAGTCAGCACTCTGGGCATGCGAAACATGGCTCTGTGTGGAATTTGTGCTAAAGCCGGCCAACTCAATGCAACTGCTGCATGCACGGAGCATGATGCGGATCCTTGGGCTGATTGGCACATACGGTCGATGAGACGAGCCCGAGTTACCCTGCACCGCTGCGAGATCGAACGTTGGAGCACATACATCCTCCGAATGATATGGGGGCTCGCTGGACACATAGCTCGCAGTGATCGCATCGCAGCCAAGATGATGCAGTGGCGCAACTTATCGTGGTGGCGAATCGAGCAATTCATCCCTCCCTCATGTGGGGATATTCTTTTAAAGATTCGGGGTTTGCACCTGCCACCCATCGTCTGTTACTAGTTTGTTGTTTGCGTTTTCTGGGAACACGTGGTTTGCCGCTCATCGTCTCCTGTGGCGGTTGGTCTGCGACACAATATTGCCGACTGTGTCGGGTTTGGGAGGCTCCGTCAAGTTTCTTAGGGTTTGGTTCTCACTGCTGCCTTGCCGCGCACCAAGCCCTTGATGGTAATTCTATTTTCTTGCAACGATCAATATGTCCTGTTACAGCGTTCAACTTCCAATCTCCACCACTCACTCCTGTCAGGGATTTGAGTTTTTGGGAACCGATTTTTTGGGAACCGGTTCCTTACCGACTATTCCTTTCAAGCCAGTGGAGTTGCCAAGGTTGATTTTTGGGTTCGATAAAAGACGGCGCCCATCCGCAGCGTTAACGGTCTGCCACGTGATTGCGCATCAAAACCATACCCTGTTGAACGTTGTAGGTTTGGGGAACTGAGCCACATCTTCCAAGAGTGGGGTTAGCCATCCAATCCTGCTTGCGTAGGGCTTTCCCCCACATCTCATGTTGGGGTGTTTAGGAACCAGTCTATCTTTCGGAGGTCTTGGGTCTCCTTGCCTCTGCGAGTCCCATATCTCATATCTTTTTGGGGTCTCAGATTTTCGGCGCCATCCGCACGCATGTACCCACCATGATCGATTGAAATAGGTGTACCATGTATTATCAGCTTTCAGATTTTCAGGTTTATGAGCTTATGAATAATTACTATAGTTACTATATCGCTTGTACTTTTTGTGTCACCTGCTGTACGGGGTCTCTGATGCCCGATTCCAGTCGCTCGCATCAGCCCAACATTCCATATTGAGGTCGTGCAACAACATACGTTTTTTCGTTACTGGGCTTTGTCTATATATATGTACACATGCACATGCCTATGTACGTACATACATCTAGGAAATAGATTACACATGTCTTACTCACATTTTTTCGCATGTACACCAATACACACACATAAATGAATAAATAAATATATATATATATATATATAGACAGTATATATAATATCTATAGTATATATGGTATATATCGTATATATAGTATTATGTACGTAGGACCTTTATGCTCTATTTGGCATTCGGCTTCGTTGTTATAAGTCTTTGACACAGAGATCCGTATTCGAATATCTAGCCTTTCAAGTTTTAAAGGTTTTCAATATTTGAATGGCTTCTAAAATCTTTAAAATTTAATTGGCATGCCAATTAATTTTTAAGGATTTTTGAAATTTTAATGGCCTTAAAACCTTTAAAATCCCTAAAATTTAAATGGGCCAAGGTTTGGGCTTTGGAAAAGTTAGCAAACCATTAAATTTTTAAATATCTGTAAAATCTTTAAAATTTAATTGGCCGGCCAATTAATTTTTAAGGATTTTTAAAATTTTAATGGCCTTAAATTCTTTAAAATTCTTGAAATTTAAATGGGCCAAGGTTTGGGCTTTGGAAAAGTTAGCAAACCATTAAATTTTTAAAAATCTTTAAAATCTTTAAAATTTAATTGGCCCGCCAATTAATTTTTAAGGATTTTTAAAATTTTAATGGCCTTAAAATCTTTAAAATTTAATTGGCCGGCCAATTATTTTTTAAGGTTTTTTAAAAAATTTAATGGCTTGAAAATCTTCAAAATCCTTAAAAATTAAATGGGCCAAGGTTTGGGCTTTGGAAAAGTTAGCAAACCATTAAATTTTTGAAAATCTTTAAAATCTTTAAAATTTAATTGGCCGGCCAATTAATGTTTAATGGTTTTTAAAAGTTTAATGGCCTTAAAATCTTTAAAATTTAATTGGCCGGCCAATTAATTTTTAAAGACGTTTAAATTTTAATGGACTTAAAATCTTTAAAACCCTTAAAAATTAAATGGCCCAAGGTTTGGGCTTTGGAAAAGTTAGCAAACCATTAAATTTTTAAATATCTTTAAAATCTTTAAAATTTAATTGGCCGGCCAATTAATTTTTAATGATTTTTAAAATTTTCATGGCCTTAAATTCTTTAAAATCCTCAAAATTTAAATGGGCCAAGGTTTGGGCTTTGGAAAAGTTAGCAAACCATGGCCCATTTAGATTTTAAGGATTTTAAAGATTTTAAAGCCATTAAAATTTTAAAAATCATTAAAAATTAATTGGCCGGCCAATTAAATTTTAAAGGTTTTAAAGATTTTTAAAAATTTAATGGTTTGCTAACTTTTCCAAAGCCCAAACCTTGGCCCATTAAAATTTTTTCAGAATTTTAAAGATTTTAAGGCCTTAAAAATTTTAAAAATCCTTAAAAATTAATTGGCAGGCCAATTAAATTTTAAAGATTTTTAAAAATTTAATGGTTTGCTAACTTTTCCATAGCCCAAACCTTGGCCCATTTAAATTTTAAGGATTTTAAAGATTTTAAGGCCATTAAAATGTTAAAAGTCCTTAAAAATTAATTGGCCGGCCAATTAAATTTTAAAGATTTTGAAGATATTTAAAAATTTAACGGTTTGCTAACTTTTCCAAAGCCCAAACCTTGGCCCA